ACGCGGTAATGCTATACATATCGAGCAAGGAGATACAGTAGTGGGGGTCATAATTTATCACCTCACAATGCATAATGGCCCATAATGCATAGGATTTGGGTCAATTGTGATGGTTTTCAAGCCTTTTGCCGTGGTGGGGACCGCGTTCTTACAGAAGATGCTTAGTAATCCAGCACAGTTGCCACACGAATGGTCATCCAGCATACCACGAGTTTTATCAGCACTGATTCGTTTAGGAATCCAAATCTGATGCAATATGGCAAAAGACCTGATTTTGAGCTGTGTAAGTCCATGGGAAAAGGGACCCAGAACTATTGTATTCAATTTCCTGCCCATCGCTTGGGACTTATCTATTTGAAGCGCTAAGCGGGGAAAACTGCTTCGGCTTTCATAGATGAAGTGGCACATCGTCCACTTCACTTTGGGCCAGTTCATGTCCACAAATAGGTGGAGGGGGTTTGAATCCTCCCATTGAGGAACTTGACACAATCTTTTGGTTACGGCCCGATTTTACGCTGCAAATCGAAAAAAAAATGATGAGTGGTATCTAAGCTCGAAAGTAACCAAATAAACCCTCGTAGATGAGCTAGCGCATCACCCATTCGTTATGCGAGGCCGGGAACGACAGCGTAAGTGGGAGGCGGAGGTTTGAATCCTCCCGGTGGCCTTAGAGAATGCTTTTGGGCGGCTGGGCCATTTATTTTTGATTGAGCTGAACCTGGCACCGGGGGCAGAGAACCACGCATATCAAAACGACACAAGATGTGCCTCCGCTTCGTTCCGGGAACTGGGAAAAGCAGTCGGGTAATAATATTATTGATTGAGGTTGATACTTCAATATGAACACGGATTACGGGAGAGTGAGGGAAAAATAGAGGTGGAATATATATATATAAATGTGGCTAAGAGCCAAATCGGAGGCATGTTTGTTCTCCAAGCTACACCAGACACCGATGCATCGAAAAATCCAGGGGAAACGGATGGGATAAGAGCAATTGGTGTTTGGCATGAGAAGATGATTCTTGGATAACAAAAACCTTTCGAAGTGTTGCGTTGCAGCGCTAGCGTTACTTCAAGAGCTGAGGGATTCCTGCCGGATTCAGAAACAATATTAAAATTCATTGATGAGGAGCCTGGTAATGTCTATGTGGTGAGAATAATAATAATGATAAAGAGGTGGTCTGAGGAGATTTAAAGGACCGGGAAAGAAGTGGGACTGAAAGAAGAAGAGTCAAAGCGGGGTGAGGAGGGAAGGAAAGCACTGATAACGATAACGAGTGTGGATGTGAAAGGGAAAGAATACATGGAAGCGCGTTGCGCGTTGCGCGTGGCTGTCTCCTGCGGAAGGAAATGATATGCAATAAAATCCGCGTGGCACTTCACGGGGATGCCAGAGAAACGGCGCGCGAGCCGATGCCGACACCTATTCCGCAAAATATCGCACCACTGTCCGTCTCCCCGTACCGACGCTGTACTTGTTGGTATACATAATAAAAGTCAGCATCGGATTCGGATTCGGATTGGGATTCGGAAGTACACGAGGGAGGGAGGGAGGGAGGGAACAAGCCGCAAAAAAAAAATGGTGAGATTCAGCAAGCCCGACGTGTCTTGGTAGGAATGAATATGAAATTTGAGATTGGAGAAATAGTAAGGCTAACCAAGGACGCTGCGGAATTGATTGAAAGGGAAACGAACGAACGGCAGGGAGATATATAGGTCGACGACGCAAAATGATATAAAAAAGGAGAGAAAGACTGAATAGAATGAACGAAGAACACACCCATCTGCGCCAGGCGCTCGATCTCGGCAAAGAGGTTCGCTTGAGTGAACTAACCTGCATATGTAAAGGAAGCAATTTGTCAGTTGGATGAAATAAAATAGGCGTCGATGGGTCTACCGCGGACGATACCGCACATGCGCAGAACGCGCTCGGTGCGACGCGACGCAGATTCCCACCCACGAATAAACGCCAACACAATGCGCCGCATGCGGGCGCGCGCTGAAGGACAGGCATATCGAAAGGTAGTCACTACTGTGAACGCCGTAGTTCGCACCAAAAAAACACATAGAACAGAGGGGGAAAAGTACGCACCGCATTAAATCCAAACCTCTGCGCATTGCTCACAGCGTCCCCCTATGGCGCCGGGCTAGATTTCTCACCTGCCCAAGAGGTCCTGCGTGCGCGCGTCGTGGTTGGACATACGTTCTACACTCGGAATACGCTCCCCCTCGGGCGGTACACAGGGCGGAGACTTCTCATTGTAGAGCGGTAGGTAGGTAGGTAGGTAGCATTAAGGTAGGTAGAACGGAATTTTGAGCTCGGTGGCGACGGAAGACGGAAGACGTCGACGTCGATGACGCAGCGGCGGACGTAGGGAGAGAGGTAAGCTATGGCGCGCGCTCTCAATTGTCTTCTCAGGCGTTGTGACGGCGTATGTACTGCAGATGCGTGTCGCCTGTTTGCTGTTCGAGGGACTGCTCATCGTCGGAGCAAGGCAGCCAGAGCTTGCAATCAGCAAGGGCTTTAGGAGGGCGGATGGACAGAAGAGCGTACCTGTTAGCTGCTGTGCATAAAAATAATACTGATAGGCTTTAAAATTCGTCGGTGCCGCCGTTGGAGGGAAACACCGCCCAGGGCGCCCGGCGGGATGCACGTGGACGGCGAAGGCGGTAGTCACGATGTCACGTCACTGCCTCAATTAGGCGTGGCGGTGCACTTCGGGACAGGTCGGCGCGCTTCCAATTCGCCCGACTTCCCCCACAACGTCTTCCGCCAGCCACCCACACTAGTCCATGCATTACGCGCCTCACCCAACACCAGCTTTTCTCAAGTGGAAGCTCTCCATTGAACAAGAGAAGTCCCGTCCCCGAAGAACTACAAGCTCACCGCATGTCTGCACAAGGGGGTCTGAATCTTAAAATTTTAAAAACCTGGTCGATTTAGGGGGTTTAGCCCGCCGCGAATCCGAAAATCTTGGTTTCAAGCTGCCAGGTTGAATATTCACTGAGATAGAGGGGGGGTACATTATTACTGCATTGGGCGAAATTTAGTGTACTGCCACTGTACAGCCCCTCCTAAAAAGGGAATTTTTGACGTGCATCAAATTTTGGAGAAACTTGTTCGTCTCCTAGCAAATGGCCTGGGAGCGAAAAAAAATGGTACAAAGCGCCAAAACACTCTCATTCATTCCCTGAAAAGGCCCGCAAAATATGGGGGGGTAGCACCCACTATTGGGCGAGATTTGGGGGGGGGGGTCTCTGGACCCCCCTGAAAAAAAAATTTGTAGGTGATATATATTTTTCGCATATTTGGGCCCCCTTGTGTCTGCATCTATGTCTGCATCCACTGCAACTACTGCTACTACGACTGCGAATGCCGGTACCAGCCCGTCCCTGAAGAACCAAAAGCTCGCCGCATGTCTGCATCTATGGCTGCATCCACCGCAGCTACTGCTCCTACGACCATGAATGCCGGTACCAGCACGAGCAAGAGTAACGCGACGGCTTCTCGATGCTCCACCTGCACATCCAAAGACGCTCGAGCGGCCAGGCTGCTGCGCGGTCCACCCACACCCACAACCTGAAGTCCACCGCACGACACCTGCTCCTCAGTGCCGTTCGTAAATAGGATGCGCGCATGGCTGACAAGTATGTGAACGTTGCAGATTGCCAGACAAGGCCCTGAGTTCGTAGCAGAAGGAGAGGGCGGCGACGGTGGGAGAAGAAGTGCGAGGTGCGTGCTGTCGAGTTCTTGTTCCATTTTTTTAATCCACCATTCACCTATACACTGTCCTTCACCGTCTCTCTTCGATCCAGCGCCCCAATGTGCCGCTCGTCCCGCCGCTTCCACTCTCCCCCATCCCCCGCATTTCTTCCGTAGATCCTTTCCCGGGCCCTAACTCCCTGCCCCTGCAGGATGCCAAAGCGAAATACCGCAAAGCGAAAGGCGAGCTCGTCGCGCGGATGAATGTCCAGTGAGCGCGCGGGATGTTCGTGGCTGTCAAGGCCCCCCGCGCGTGGTATTTTCGTTTGCATGTGCCGCGCACCTGTACATATTATATATGGATCGTTTCGTTTCCTTCATCCTCCGGAACCACCGTCTCTCCGGGAGTACACCGCGCGCTGTCCAGTTTAATTCTCACAGCGCGCTTCCGCTCTCTGTCCGGAACCAGCGCAAGCACATGAGCTCGATTCTATGCGCACATCGTTGGTCCACAGTCGGGCACGTCGTCGCTACGCCGTACACGCGCACTCAATCGGTGAATTCCTTCAACGCTATTCCAATTATCAATCAATCCAATAGCTGCCCTGAATCGTTCATTCGTTAATCCTGCCGTAGGTGCGATCCTCTGCGATCCTATCGCTGTGCTCTGATCTCATAACGACTCCCTCGTGGATGAGCCGGCACATCACCCATTGCCCATGTAGATTCTCACACGTTCTAGTGAATTTATAGGCAGCCAGTTCTCCCGGGGGTATTAAATGTTCATCGAGAAAATCTTTTTTTTGGCAGCATTAATATTGGTCCAGTGGGCAATTCATCCCCATTCGACTGTTTCGGGTGGCGTTCATTTTTCATTTCAGCGGAGGCATGTGGTGGTTACGAAGTAAGCGAATACGCCTTCGTGGATGAATTGGCACATCACCCATTAATTGTCGTTGATGAATAGACACATATAAATGGGAAGCGGATGTTCGAATCCTCCCGGGGGCTTGGGCAGCTGTGACAGTGTTTTGGGCGCCTGGGCCCTTTATTTTTAATTTGACTCAGTTTTCATTTAAGCTGAGAAGGATCAGGGTCCACAGTGGGTAAATAAGCTCCTCGCGGATGAATTGGTACATCATCCACATTGTATGATCCTCCATATGCCATTGAGTGGGAGGCGGAGGTTCGAATTCTCCGGGCTTGGCTAGCCTTGAGAACATCTTTTGGTGGTTGGCCATTTTTTATTTAAGCTGAGAAAGACCAGGTATATACAGGTTCGGATGTAAGCAAATCAGCCCTCGTGGATGAATCGGTACATCATCCATATTGCATGAGCCTTCGTATCACACATTGAGTGGAAGGCGGAGGTTCGAATCCTCCTGGGGGCATGGGACGGGTCCATGTTGATTTTTTATTTGTGGAAAATCGCTGTAGATGGCGGATTTATCATTTCACTCTAGGTGCATTGGATTCGGTTTTCGTTTGCAAGCCAGGTCTCGGTTGGTTGGAAGGTTATTATTAATTTTGAATGAGCCGACCATGAGTTTTTTTCCTGGCAGCGACTGGCTAATAACCAGTAACACAAGCGGATGAGCTTGGAATGCTTCTGCAGACTGAGTGACATTATCCCAAACGCTCAAAAGAAAAAAGAAAAAAAAAAAAAAAGGATGAGCCGAGCTGAGCGGGAAACAAGTAAGCTGTGCGCGTGTCTTATACCTAAAAGTCTTGTGGATGAACTGGCACATCACCCAAGTTATTTGCACTTCAAATCGAGAAAAAAATGGTGAGGAGTATCCAGGCTTCAAAGTACACAAATAAGCCCTCGTAGATGAATTGGCACATGGTTTGGAAAGACCCCTGCTTAAATGGGTGGCGGAGGTTCGAATCCTTCCGGGGGCATATAAGGGCTGTAGGCACCTTCTCTTTTTCTTTCATTATCCTCCGCCCTTTTTTTTGTGTAGCCTTCCACGGGGAATGCGGGGTAGATGACTGACTACCTACTTATTCTTATCTCTGTTTTTTATTCAGGTTTTGGGGGTTGATTTAGTTGGTTGGTAGGTTGGTAGGTCCGTATGTATCTTACATGGCTTAGCGAGAAATAAATACAGTGCAGGTCTTTCTCGTTCCCAGACCATCCACTTAACCTGTGATTCGTCTAGAATAAATGGATGGAAGGGGCTTGAACCCCCGAAACCCCCGAGAGCATTCGTTGTGGAATCCAAAGCTATTTTTTGGTGATGTTACAATTTATTTGCACTGCAAATGAAGAAGAATGAAGACTTTATTGACTCATCCAGGTGCGAAAATTAGCAAATAACCCTCGTGGATGAGCTGGCAAATCGCCCATCCACAGTTTACACGTCTGACTGCACTGTGAAAGGGGAGGCGGAGTTCGAATTCTCCCGGGGGCTTGGACGTCCACCGAAAGCTTTTGGGTGGCCGACCCATTTATTTTTTATTTGAGCTGAGAAGGATCAGGCATCTGCAGGTCGCAAATTGAGCACATACGCCCTCGTGGATGCATTGGCACATCACCCACATTTGGTGGACTCGTCAGGGAGAAAAATTGGGGGTAGGAATGCAGATGGAGAGAGGCAGGTGCGTGTGTGCGTGGAGGAGCGAGGTGAAAATGATTCCGTGGGTGGGCGGTCGAAGGGAACGGCGGTCTGAGTACGTACGTGGAGGTATGATGCGGGGCAAAGCGAGTTTTTCTGGGAGAGGAAGGCACAGCACAGGTGATTCTTCGATTCCGGTTCGAGTCAGGCCTGGAGTGAGAACATATGCGGAAATAGTGTCGCCAGGAAGGTTCTACGTGCAGTGAGGACGAATATCTAGAGTGCGAACATTGATGATCGCCGTTCGATGCGTACGAGTCTACCATAGAAAATACGTGGAACCCCGAAATTTGTAAAAAAAAACAGAACCGCAAAATGTGGGACCAAAGTCTGCGCTTGGTTTAACAGACGAGGCAGGGATTGTTAAGCCACCAAGCGCTTTGGGGACGGAGGTGAAGATGAGCACCGTGGAAGGCGAGGTGAGCAGCGACGACATACTAGTAGAGTACAGTACGAGGGAGATGCGACTCGAGTCCTGGGCGGGCAGCAAGGAGCAGTGGTGGCTTAAGCCCTTAGCCTTATGCTGCCCTTAAGATAAGCCATAACGGATTAGTCCAAAAGTTGGTAAGGCTCAAGTAAGACTTAAGAGTTCGGGCCGGTAGTACCGAGCCGGAGATCCGGTCAAGATTACTCGTGAAAATTTTGCGCATCTTGTCTCCTCTCCCATGGGTCTTAAAGACCATTTCCACAGCCTGGGGAAAAAAAAAGTCACTTCGAGACGTAGTACAAAGGTTGCGTTAGCCATCACCGTGATGAACTCAAACTTTGGCTGACACTGCGGAAGATGCTCGGCTTGATGATGGTGCAATCGAGGAGCCCGGCGATGAGTACGTACCTTTGATATGTTTTTATCATGTACCACAACGTGCAGCTTGGCCCAAAATACCATGAAAACACTATATACAGCTATTTCCTAAAATAGATTTAAGCCCTTAATTATCCCCTAAGCCCTAAGCCTTAATACCCCCTAAGCCTTAAGGCTCCGGCTGACCAAAGATTAAGTCTTAACGGCCACCACTGGCAAGGAGCGTTCAGCTAGCCGCCCTCATTCCAGCCATGACATTCGAGCAGCGTCTTCTCAGGTCTACTCCATCCCTCCGCGCGTAGGTTTACCGTTGTAAGGGTCATGGAACATTCCCCTTACATGGAACACTGTACGTACTTCATGGGCATTCTATTTACATTCACGGACACTTTACTTATATTCTATGGACTCCGTTCTATGCTATATTCATGGACTCTTTACATATGTTTCTCCATGGTCACTCTACTAACCCGTTGGATATATTACCTCACTTGGTCCGGCTTCGGAATCTAATTGTGCTCTTTTGGGATGTTCAGACGCGTTTTCTGAGCCATTTTCGCGAACCATGGGACCAATTCGAACACTAGGTGCGTGATGCGTGACGTTCGAATTGAATGAAAAAAGACAGTACTTCGCTTATGAATGAGAAAATCCGTGAGTTTGATGTAAAAGCGTGAAAGTTCGTCATTTCAGCTGATTTCTGGGAAAGCTCGTCACTTTCGGACGTGCGCGACCGATGCGCTTGCCAGGTGTATTGTTTGATCACCTGAATTATAAACGCCTCGACGTTCTTTGTTACCACCATTTACACCCATGCCGGCGATTCGCAGTCGCGTGCTCGCTCGTTATGGACTATAACGCGTTTTCAGACGATGCATGGTGTTCTTGAAGTGGTGACCGAATTCTTCTTGGCGTGTTCGCGCCCCCCATGCCCGCAAGAGTCCGCCCACCAAACCCAGCGCGATGAATTTCTATTGGCTGACGAGAACATTGCTCACACCCATGCAGATGATCACGGTGCTACCAAGGTGTCTCGATGTAAACACTCCACCGCTCAAGGTTTGTCCCGTTAATGTGGGAAATCTTTAATTTTAATTCATAACTTAGTTCCCCTGAATGCATCAATATCTGCCGGTAGCGGGACTGTCAGGAACGAACCGATACCAGGTGAGACTAATAGCCTGGAATATTTACCGAAGACATACCATGGGCTGAAACTTCTTTGACAGCTTCGATGCCAACCACGTCCAAACCGCCGAGGCCTGTTCGCAAATGTTCTGCATCATATCCGGCTTTTTTTGGGTGATAATCGGGGTTTTCATAATCATCTGGTCGGGTGGTTGTGCCGATTTAGCATACAACTTTCAGATCGCTTGGACTCATACTCCTACAGATACAATGGAAGCCTGGTGCATAAAATAATGCGTTTTCTTGAAGATCCGTCGACCATCTCTACCATTCGCCTTGATCTGCTCCGGCCACTGCTCCGACGCGTGATCCCCAGCGGAGAGCGCCCGAAGACAATTTATCACTGCACGGACTCGGTGTGAGGCAAGATGGAGCCGGCCCTCCGTTCTATATCGAATCTGGCAAGAGCTGGGGCGAGTCTGTCTCCTTCATCACCCCACCATAGTCGAAAACTGGCAAAGTCGAGATCTCTGCCCCCCATGAGTTTATCATGAGTTTATCGTGCGTTAAATCGGTTCGGGCAGCGTGGAAATCTACAGCACCTGAATTGGATTAAATGCGGAAGTCTAACAAGCAGCTGAGCAGAGAAAGAACGAAGGAGCATGCATACAGGGGGGAAATAACAGAGAATTTGTACCAGGAACAGATAACTAAGGACATTCGCCGCGCCAGAGCAAGATTATCTGAATTAAATGCCACTTGCTCGATACGATATGTGGCTTTTGAGGTGATATCAGACTTGCTCGTTCTCCCTCCCGACTATTGTCACCTCCTTACTCGCAAACTCATGGTTAAACGACCGATCTCTCGATTTTTGGGGCGACTGCACTTCATCCGCCTCCATAGAGACGTTAGTGACCCCCGCTCCTCTCGGCGCAAATGCAAGGCTACGTGAGGCTTGCGCGTAGCTATCAACGGACTTTCCAGTGATAACGCGAATGCCTAGAAGAGTTGGGGCAATACCCTGTATTCCAATCGTGAGCTCGAAGTGAACTTGCTAGAAAGAGGACAACATACGTAGAAATGAACAGTACACGTTTCCATGAGACTGAACGCTGGATTCTCCAACGAGTTGAGAACGAGGTAGAGTAGTTGGACAACAAAGTTCATAAGCCCTGATTCGACCATCAACGTGATGACGCGGTTATAGGGATTGTCTAGATTTTTTTCTTCCCCATCGCATAAGACCTTGAGTTGCCGAGACTGAACCCAGATCTTTCCCGCGATTAGTCCAGTGACGAGGGTGTTAACGGCCATAGAGAGGCTAATGCCCACTGTCGCGATCGGAACCTCAATATGGAGGACAGGTTCAACCGCCCCACCCGAAACACTTCCGCGGTACCCTACAGCGACCAGTTGTCCCACTGAATGGGAGCCATGAGCACATATATCAGCGAGCTGTTTTAATCCTCACATAAAGAAGCGGCGGCTAAGAAGACCAGAGGAGAAACAACATAATAATTCTGATTCCAGATGATCCAACAACGATAGATCTGAATATAGTGATCAAGGCCAGGATAATCGACACATAGGAATACCCACAAGAATCATCTGTGAAAAAAAGTCCACGACCCCGATGAGAGCGGTTGAAGCGACAGCCATGCGCCAAGCAGCGATAAATGTGGGATCGGCGTTGGGTACCTGAATGCGTGTTCCATGAGTTGATGAATGAGCATGAAAGACGCCAGTACCTGGAGAAGATACCCTTGTCCAAAGTCCAGACCACATGTGAGTGTCGCGATGCAAAACAAGGCCGTTAGCGCATAGGTCAATAGACGGG